AGCTCGAACTTGATTAGAGATAAAAATTAAATTACTTAAATTCACTCAATTAAAATCAATTAACATGTAAAAAACAGCTCAATTTTTATATCTAATAAAATTTTAATTATTTATGCTCAAACTCGAATTTACATTCAAGATATTTTATTAATTAAAATAATAAAAAATTATTAAAATATAAAAATTTAATTAGACTTGTGAGTTATTTGAATGGGATATGAGAATATTCAACCTTAATCCGATCAATAATAAATCGAATTATTAAAGCTTAAACTTAATTTAATAATAATAAAATTTAATTTAAATTTTATTTGAATCGAATTCAAATAATTTATAATTATTAATATATCATTTATACTTCTAATACATGTGCAAAAGAGTACATGTTCTAAAACTACCGATATTTTTTTCCTTCCGTGAAATGGTTTGTCACATGATTTTGTGTTTCGAAATTCTTATTTTTTCTTTTCTTGCTTTTTATTTTGTAAGCTATTGAGCATTTTAGAGACAGAGATCTATCTTAGATCAAACGAGACGCAAAAGATTATGAGGTAAGAATCAACAATATTTAATTCTGAAATAGTTCTTTTAAATGAATGCAATGTTTTCTAAATTTTTTGTTAAGTAGGAACATAAATTTCCCATAAAAATTAGGCAACTCAAAAAAATAAAAAAAATAAATACATAATGAAGCAATCATGTCTATAATATTGGTTTACTATTAATATGCAATTCAAGAAAGAAAATTAAAGATTATTATGTAAAATCAACTAAAATTTAATTCATAATTCCTATGTCTTCACCTTAATTTATTTAATAACTCCAATTGACTCCATACCAAGAATTGATGTAACCAATGTATATCTTCAATTTTTAATTTAGTGTGAGAAAATTAAATGGCTTGCATCCATTCAAATGTATAATGAAAAGATCTTATTCCGTCCAATCATTTCACCTAAATCCCAAAAAAGAAAAAAAAATCAATTTTAATCTTTAAAACCACGTGACAACCTTCATTTTGCAAACCAATTCTTCCAAACCCATTTCTTCTCAGGTCATTTTAAATACATCACCAAATTTTCTTTCTACGCCCCCGAAATCTTCTTCCAAAAATATTTACATATCAAATGCTAATTTTAACCTTTAGTAAATGAAAAAATATGTTTAATAGCTTGTATACAAAAAAATTATCTCATATTTCTCATAAATAAATTTCAAAAAATTATATTGTGTTTTCAAAAATCAATTTTCAAAAAAATAATATAAATCTTGAAAATGAATTACTAAAACACAATAAAACTCTCGAAAAATCTGTTTTCAAAAATACATAAATTTTTTAAATATATACTTAATTATAAACTCTTGATAATAAAAAAATCGAGATCTTTAATATTTGGGCTACTAAAAAAATGTTATAAACAGACTAACAAATCTAACAGTAAAGATTGGTGTCGAAAGATTAGATAATATCGAATTTGCTAATCTACTAATGATATTATCAATGTCAATGCTCTATAAGTGTTTAAGTTCGGACTAGCATACATGCATTCACATAAGTTATCGATGTGCCATTTCTTACTTGATTATACGTGTGAATAAAAAAAATATGTTAGTTTGCAAATATGCATGGACATAAAAATGTTTTTGTCTTAAGCTTAGAAAACCAAAACTCCATTTTGCCCATACAAACTAAAAAAAATGGTGTTATCAATTTTCTGAAAGTGCAAGAGAAAGAACAAGTTTATGCCATACATATTAAAAATATTGATTTCAATTTCATTCACATACATAATCAAATAAATGGGTTCATAAGCGCATAATGAAAATTTTTTAATGATTAAAAGTGAAATTGAGCTTGAAAATAAATATTTGAGAAACCTCAAATCTTTCAAATTTTTATTTTCGAGAATACTCAAGGCTTTTTGAAAATGATATTTAAAAAAATTTTAAGTCTTCTTGCAAATGAATATCCGAAAGGCTTTTGAGACTTTTTAAAAATGAATATTGGAGAATTCTTAAGGTTTTTTAAATATTCATTTTTGAAAAATTTCAAAACTTTTCTAATATTTATTTTCGAAAAATTTGATTACAGAAAATTAAGAGAGAAGAAGGGAGAAAGGGTAGGAATAGAGAATAGAAAGTGAGTAATGAGCTTTATTAAGTAAAAATATGAAATTAAGTTTTAAATTTAGGATATGTATAGAAATCGAGTGTATGTAATATTAAATAAAGTGTAAATAGAATTCGTCCTTTTTCTCTTTCTCGCCAATAGTAGAGCATGCCAACATGGTCTTTAGCTTTCCAAATCCTCATCCCATTTTCCTCTATTTCTTTTTCCTCCTCTATCTCTATTTTTCTTCTTCATTTTGCAATAAAGTCACCAAATACAACCAACCACCCTCATATCTTGCTTAGATCCCCGCTGCCTCTTTTTCCAAAAATTTTAAATTACTCTATCTATCTCAAAAGTCAAAATAAAAAGACAACAGAGAGCACAGCCTAAAGTCAATGGTTATAGAGGTTATATGAGATCTCCTTCTTCAAACTATCCACAACTCAAATTTTAAAAATTAGGTATTTTGTTTTTTATCACGAATTAATTTATTTTTTTTTTAAGTTTGATCGATGTTTAAATTTATTGGATTTTGACTTAATTGTTTAAAGTTAGGATATATTTTTTTCTGTTTGATTTTATTTATTATGTGATTTGATTTGAAAAATATAAAAAGTAATTTAAACATCTCGATACAATTGTTACTGATTGTTACGTCGTTATTAGTGACCGTAAAATTTCACTATGAACGTAATTTTCATTCACAACTTCATTACAAGTGAATAATGGTGGTGGAAAGTATCACTACCACTAAATAACAGCCTTTATACTGCAACGCCGATGCTATTTAAAACCCTAATAACAACCAACTATTGATGTGTAAATTCGTTAAGGTAGCTTGCAAATCAAGATCTTAGGTAGATTTTGTAGATACAAGTAAACAGCAAATACATTTATTTGTTCAAATCTCTTATGATATTTGATTGATCACCAAAATCCCATGGAACTGCTGCTTCCGTGATAAGGCCATTGGTATTAAGGTGATTAGTGATGTGCCAAGCAAATTGCATTGGATGGCACTACAGTAAAACTTCATCTTTTATCATATAAATAAATAATATATATAACAGCTTAAAATTCTAGTGTAAGATAGTATACTTCTTTTATACTCAAAATTTTAACCTAGTAAATAAGATTATTGTTAATTAAATCGTAGTTTGAGAATAAAAAATTATAAATATTTAAATTTAAATTAAAAAATTTATTAAGTATTACATTTTTAAATGATTAAATGAATAATTTAACTAATGTAATCTAGATTTAAATTATTCCCAAAATGACACTTTTTTTCAATTAATATTAGAGAAACAGGTTAGCAAGGCAAAGATAAAATGTTCTTCACTTTACAAGCCAACTATTAGAAAAGCTATTGGTAATTCATTTTAGAAATTGGCTGCATGGCAAAAGCATGTTTGACCAGCGACCATGCTCAACATTCCTAATTACGACTGTAGAAAACATTTTTAGACAGCTCTGTTGCGGATAAACAACTTCGAATTCTCGATAAGACACATCTATTAGTAGTGTTCGTAGAGGACATTGATTCCTAAAGTTCTTACAATTCTTTTATTTAATTATAGTTCAAAGCCCAAAAGAAAAACAATAAAACCCAGGTGTAAATTTTTCTACTTTCTTTCTCTCTTTGTCTTTCTTTAAAATTTTATAGAAAAAAAAGAACTCTTTTTTTCTCTGTTTCTCTATCTGTTACACAAGATCAATTGATCAAATGCCGTTACGTTTCTAACCCTAACATTTTCTTGTCGAAATTTGATTTATTTTGTTGTTGAATTTTTATTATTTTTCATAAAAATAGTTACTTGATGACTAAATTTTATGAAGTTAGTTTCTTTTTTTTTTTTCTTGGGTTTATGTTGTTTTCTTCTTCTTCTACTTCTCCGCTTTGATCTTGGAATCTAAAATTCTCATTCCTTAGAAGAAAAAGACCATTTTTACCCTTAAATTGAAATTTTTTGTTTGTTTAAACATCTGAGTTTTTGTTGAACCTGATGCAGATAAAAAAATTCAATGGAATGGCTGAACTATTTTTCTTAGCAGATAGTAAAAATGTTATCTTTTTAGATGCAATTTGGTTAATTGGTTATTTATGTTCACTGTGTAATATGGCGGTTTTTTTGTTGTTTGAAATTCATTTGCGTTCTGGGTTTTAGAAAAGATGTGATGGATCAGGGAAGCTAAAATGGTTCGAACCATAAAGTGGATAAACTTAAAGGAGTGATTCTGGAGAGTGAAAACAGTATAAATAGCATAATTCATACCAATTTTCATTTAAGTGTTAATAGTTTTTAGATAGTTTTTTTTTTTTGGCAGAAATTGCATTCTAAAGCTAAAATATGGTCAAAACATGCCTGAACTATGTCATTGGTTCCAAAAGTTAGAAATTTGAATCATTGGCTGAGTTAAGGAAATAATTAATATGGTGACTTGTTTGAATAGTGTATTAAGTTTTTGGATGTAATGTAATTACACATGCATTTTCTAAAAATAAATAGACTTGTAATTGCTGTTTATTGCTTTCCTTTCTTGGCCACCTAAAACGTTTCAAATTTTTATATTCGTTGAATCTGGCACACCCTTTTGAAATATAAAGTATTGCAGATCTTCTGTTTGTATATATATTGAAGCTCAAACGCTCATACTGATCAGAGGTCAAGCTAGGTTGAAAGTTAGAGTTGCATTGCTTTGGTGATCTTGAAGAATGTCCATTTGCTCCTGAAGGTGCTTATGGGAGATAACTTTCTTGTGGGCATCCAATCTTTTAAATCAAGAACAAGAGAGCATACTGATATGGGCACCATGCACCACATGTTAGGCTTTTTTGTTTACTTATTAATTATTATGCTTTTTTGTTTACTTATTAATTATTATCTTTCACTATTGGAAAGTAGTGTTGTAAATAATAGTATTGAACCTTACAGCCTTCTTACGTGTCTTGATTCTTGAATTGCCAAACTTTCTTGGCTTATTGCTTGTGACGAAAAATTTTTGGGGCCGCTTCTACCAAACCATTTCAATGTTTTGCAGTGGAGTTTTTAAGAAAACAAATGATAGTGCCAGGCTTATTATCACAACAATTCTTGGAGTTGTTTTTGGATTTTTTATTGGTGCTTCGTTTCCATCCGTTTCCCTTTACAAGGTATGTTTGCCTTCGTTTATATTTGTGTATGCTGCAGTAGATCTATCATTCTTATGATTTGTTGTCGACCCCTGCAGATTCACTTACCTTCAAGCCTTAGGTCATCACTTGATCTAGCCACATCTAATGACCAAGAATTCTTTATAGTCAGATCTCCTGCAACAACTGGGAGTAATGTTCCTAAGGAGCCTGTGGTGCTCTCTGTTCCTTTTTTCTTGTAATCTTTTGTTATTTGTTTGGGGAAGACATTTCACTGATACTTGTCAGATTACGTGTTTTCAAATTATCAGGGAAAGTTTTGTTTTCCAGTGTGTTTTTGAATTATTATTATTTTGTCTTAGATCAGCTTGAGTCTTATATATCTGTTTTCCTGCTTCTTGTTTGGAGGAGTTCTCTTTGTTCACAATTGCAGCATGGCACTCGGTTTTGATCCGGTTTGTTAATTGTTTTCTGCTTCTGTGTTTCACCCAGATATACGTTCCAACAAATCCTCGTGGTGCAGAATTATTACCTCCAGGAATTGTTGTTGCAGAATCTGACTTTTACCTGCACAGATTATGGGGTGAACCTAGTGAGGTATGATACATAAGCACCATTTACATAGAAACATCATAATGCTGGTGCTTTAGTAATATTATCTAAGTAAATGGCTGGAACTTTCTTTGTCTTTTAACATTTTTGCTGACTAGAAACGTTACATGCAGCTTATCATTTTGTTTCCACTAGAAAAGTTCTGATGCATGGGGGCTGTTTTGGCATTATATCACTATCATTGTCGGCTTCAAAACATACGCCTTGCAATGTGCTACAATATAACTTCATGTGTCTTAATATTCTCCGTTAATAGTTGTCTCCTATTATGATTTTCCTTAAATCTGCAGGATGTGAAGAAGAAACCGAAGTATTTAGTAACATTTACAGTTGGTTTGGAACAGATGAATAATATTGATGCATGTGTTAAAAAGGTTAGACAATGGGACCATTCCATCTTTGCTTTTTATTTATTTATTTATTTTTTCAATTTTGATTTCCAGAGTTTCTGACACTTCTGTATTCTTACATGTTGAGATAGTTTTCTGAGGATTTCCAAATTTTACTTTTTCATTATGATGGCCGGACAACTGAATGGGACCAATTTGAGTGGTCAAAGAAAGCAATCCATGTTAGTGTGAAGAAGCAAACAAAATGGTAAGTTTTTTGGTGTTCTGAATGGTTCAAAATTTCTATCTTTCCAGATCCGTTTAGTTAGAGGGAGTTTTTAAGACAGAATAAGCTGTTGCCTATTCCATGCACCTCTGAGTTCCTGTTACTGCCTTATTAGATTAGCTTTGACTTGTTATCATTCTAGTGGATGATAATTTTGCTGCTAGTTCTTATATTCTTGCTCATGTAAATATATTTTAGGTGGTATGCGAAAAGGTTTTTGCATCCAGATGTTGTTGCCCCTTATGAATATATTTTCATCTGGGATGAAGATCTGGGAGTGGAACACTTCAATGCGGAGAGGCTTGTGTTTTCAACCAGTTTTTTTTTTTTTTACTTAATTTCAACATGTATATATTTATTTCTAACTTTCTCTGCACAAGTTACCAGATACATAGAACTGGTCAAGAAACATGGTTTGGAGATCTCACAGCCTGGTTTGGAACCTAATAATAGACTGACATGGCAGATAACAAAGAGGAGAGGTGACCAAGAAGTTCACAAGTAGGCTCTCTCTCTCACACTTGTATGAAGGGGCAATTACTTTATCAATCATAAAAAATCGTGTTTTTTTCTCTGAAGTTATGCATTTTGACTTGCTTAACAGGTCTACTGATGAGAAACCAGACCAGTGTCCTGATCCGCATTTGCCACCATGTGCTGCGTATGCTCTCTCTATCAATTTCACTCAAACACACACAGAGACAATGTGTCTTGCAAACTTTTAGCAAAGTGGTCATATTTGTAAATTATAAATTTTACAACTTAGCATTTTCAAAAGAGCCCAGACATCGCCATTTTGCACTTACTGCAAATTCTGAAAAACTGGAATTGTGTCTGTATGAGAATCATAATTGGCAATGCATAAGCAATATTTCTGATTTGTGTATTTGTAATGCGCTTTGCTGTTAATGTTCCTTCAACTGGATGTCCTCCTTTTCTCTTGGTATATTTAACATTGATTTATTTCTTTCTTTCAGTTTTGTGGAAATTATGGCACCTGTATTTTCTCTGGAAGCTTGGCGATGTGTATGGTATATGATTCAGGTAAAGTATGCTTAAGGATTTTGTGTACTTTGGCCGCATTCTTTAGAATATTTACATGCTCACAGATTAACTGACTAGATAGGTTGCATGTGTTATCTACTTCCTTGCCTCCCAAGATAAATACTAGTTATTATTTCTGCAAAATTTTGATGGTATCCTAATTGTCACGATCAGACCCTTTGGTGGGAAGTTGCACATCTGAGGTTCAATTCACCCAACCTAAAAGTAAATAATAAACTTAAATAAAGAGAGATTTGTTAATTGATGGACTCTTTATTAGTTCTTAAATGAGGCTATCTAGGAAAAATAAAATTATGAACCGGCTCATATACCAACACCTTTCGGGATGAGTTCCCTCCATTCTCAACTTCTCTGATGATGGAAGGAGAACAAAGACACAGATTAGGAGCATATTTCTAGAAATTTACTCGGTACAATTTTTGAGCTCCCTCCTTTTTTGATACAACCAAAATGCTTAACAACTCATGTTCTTGTAGAATGATTTGGTGCATGGATGGGGATTGGATTTTGCTCTCAGAAGATGTGTTGAGGTTAGTGGTTTCTGTCTCTTATTGCCATTTCTTTTTCGTTATTGACTACTCTCCAGTCAACACAATAAGAACCTGTGGAAGTCTTTGCTAGATGGAGAATCTGAGCACTGATAAAATACTTTAGAATTACCAACTCTTTATGGAAATATTCCTCGGGAAAATCAGCAACATTTGAATTCATGAAAGCATCCTTATGTCAACAACGTGCAGAAAGAATTAGAGGGGCTAGTTTGTAAAAAATATTACAAGTTGTTAATTATTTAGAGAGATTGATATTGTTTTCAACTATCTGATAACATACCAAGCTGGCTTCTCCTAGCACACCCTGTGAAAAGTGAGAGCTTCATGTTTACAATCTCAGCCTGGCCTCTTATGTAATATTGTACTAAATTGCCATTTTCTTCTGCACAGCCTGCAAATGAAAAAATTGGTGTGGTAGATTCACAGTGGATTATTCATCAAATAATTCCTTCTCTTGGGAACCAGGTGAGTTATCATCAGCTTGCCAGATATTTTGGCTATGTTAAAATGCTGAATGATATTGTGGCTCATATTCTCATACAGTTTCCTTCAATGTTTTGTGTGAATGATAAATTATATGAATATGGCTCTTGATCTATATCCGGTGGCATGGATGCTAAGCATGGAACTGGATCCCAGGGTGATGTTGACTTATTTGATTGAAGAAGCTTAGCTGAATAACATTTTTTTTTCCCACTTGTTGGAACAATTTCACCTGGCACTCAAATTTGACGTTATTTCATCTTGCGCCTATTCTATTATTTTGGCGTTTCTTCGCTCATTCATGCTCGACATGTTTGTCATGACCCTCCTGATTATAATCTCTTAACTATGAGTTCTGTCAAATTGCAGGGTATGTCAGACGAAGGGAAAGCTCCTTGGGAAGGGGTATGCATATTTATGAATTTTGACATCATTTTATGTACCTTCATTTCGAAAATTATTCTTTTGGCTTTTTGATCATTTGGCCTCTAAATGTCTTGCATGATGTTGCTTTCTTGCTCTTTCTATTAAATAAAGGGGACAAAAATGCTGCACCTTAATGTATATGAATTTTAATCTTTAAAAAGGAAAAAGAAAAAGAATGAAGTCTTAAATGTTGCTTAGATTTGAATCTTCTCTTTGTAAAAGAAAGATTTAATCTCTAAACCAACTCACTTCTTTCTTTCTTTTCCATTCACAGGTTAGAACAAGGTGCAAAAACGAGTGGTCCATGTTTCAGAATCGCCTAGCGAGTGCAGACAAGGCATACCTTGCCCAGCTTGGAAAGGGATAATCTTTTATTTCTTTTTTCCCAACTCTCCTTCGGTGTCATCCATATTTGTACATGTATCATCTCACCTGATGTTTGTTAGGGCTCAGTTTGAGTGATATTTTTGCTGAAAGAGGGTGGACTCATTTCCCTGACTCAGTTTTTGTATCTTATGATTTCTACAGTTAAATAAACCAAGAGAATAATTTTTTTTATCTTGTCTTCCTCATGAGTTATTCATTTTTTTACTTTGTGGAAAAATTAAGAAATAAAACTATGCGGAAAACTAAGAGAAAAAAATTGAATGTATATTGAAAAATTGTTCATTTAAAATTATATAAGAATCTTAAGTTTATATACAACTAACTAGGGGTTAAACTAAGAAATTAAATCTTCTTAAAAACTGATCCTATAATTGAGGGATTGTCTATCTTAATTTTTTGTCCTTAATTTTAAGGATACAAATACTTAATTCTAGAAATACAAATATAAATAGATAGATTACAAGATTATAATCAACTATAAATAAGTATTTTTTCACACTCTCTCTCAAGCTGATGAATATGTGTTTTTCATTCCCAACTTGAAAATAATTTCTTTGAATGTTGTACTCTGAGCCCTTTAATTAACACATCTGCAAGTTGACCCTTTGTTGATACATAAGGTATACAAATCAACCCACTATCTAGTTTTTCCTTATGAAATACCGGTCTACTTCAATGTGTTTTGTTTTGTCATGTTGCAAAAGATTGTGTGTAATGCTTATTGCAGACTTGTTATCACAGTAGAGTCTCATTGGTTCATCCCACTTGATCTTCAAGTCTTCTAGGATAATCTTTAACTATAGTAGTTCACAAATTCCTTGAGTCATTGCTCTGAACTCTGTTTCAGCACTTGATGTTGTCACCACATTCTATTTTTTACTCCTCCAAGTTATAAGATTACCACCTAAGAAAGTGTAGTAGCCTGAGGTGGATCTTCTATTAGTTATTGAACCGACATAATCAACATTTGTATATGCTTCTAGAACTAGCCCTGAATTTCTTTTAAATAAGATACCTATCTCAGAATTAGCCTTCAAATAATGCAACATACGGTAGACAGCCTATAGGTGCAATTTTTTAGGACTATGCATAAATTGACTTATCACACTCACAGCATATGCTATATCAAGTTTAGTATGTGAGAGATAAATAAGTCTTTCAACTAATCTTTGGTACATCTCTCTATCTATAACAACATCTTCAGTAGCTTATCCAATTTTATGATTAAGATCTATAAAGGTATTTGCATGTTTACATGCGAGCTTTTCAGTTTTCTTCAAAAGATTCATCACATATTTATGTTGCGAGATGAAGATACCATGCCGTGAGTGAGCTACTTCAATTCCTAAAAGTACTTCAATCTCCCTAACTCTTTTATTTTAAATTCTCTAGCCAAACACTATTTTAAAATTCTCTCTCTTTTTCATCATCTCCAGTTACAATTATATCATCAACATACACTAATAGAACTGTGACTCTCCTTGAATTAGAGTGCTTGATAAACAATGTGTGATTTTTTTTACTTTGTTTATATCTCATTGCTAGCATCACTTTGACAAATCTCTTGAACCAAGCCTTAGGAGACTGTTTAAGGTCATATAAAGCCTTTTTCAACTTGCATACTTTGTTTGCTTCTAGATGACCTCCAAATCTCGATGAAACCTTCATATATATTTCTTCTTCCAAATCACCATGTAGAAAAGCATTCTTTACATCAAATTGTTGAAGCTGCCAATTGTAATTTGTAGCCAATGATAATAAAATCCTAACTGTATTCATCTTGGCAACTGGAGCAAAGGTTTCCTGATAATCCACTCTATAGGTTTGAATATAGCCCTTAGTCACTAATCTGGCTTTATACCTTTCAATAGTACCATCTGCCTTGTATTTTATAGTGAAAATTTATTTACACCCCACTAAATTTTTTTTAAGGCAACTCTACCAGTTCTCATGTCTTATTTTTCTCTAAGGTCTCCATTTCTATTTTCATGGTTTGCCTTCATTTTTCACTAGATAATACCTCGGATAATGTAGTTAGAACAGAAATAATGTTTAGGCTCACAAGAAAATTTTTGTGGGATGATGAAAATTTTTCAAATGACACAAAATTAAAGATCGGGTATAGTGGATGCTTAGTACATTCTCTGGTTTCTTTCCTAATGGCAATAGGCAAATCATAATTACTAGTTATAATTTTATGAGATTCATGCTTATTTTAAAAAACAAAGTAAAAAACTATAGTTACCTCGTTTTCCAGAGTTAGGATCAGGTTCTTGGATTGGCACTAGTTCAGGATCTGAAACTTTTTTTCTTAAGTACACCTGTAATTCTTTCATAGAATAAAGAATAATATTATCCTTTTATCAAATTTTTTGTATTTGGAATGGGTTCAGACTCAAATTCAGTGTTTGATTTAGGCTCAGCAAAAACAGATTTCGACTTAAAAGAATTAATGGGTGAAAATGTTGAAGAATGGGACAAATAAGCAAAAAGAAATCTTTATCCTTATCTTCCATGAATGAAGTCTCTCCCTGAAGATAAGGTTGAATAAAAAATAGTTTACTTTTTTTAAAAGTGACATCTGCAGACACATAAAATTTTTTGTAAGAGGATAATAGCACTTATATCCTTTTTGAGTTGAGGAATACCCCACAAAGATACACTTAATGGCTCTTGTCCAACTTTTTTCTATTATAACCGTGAACATGAACAAATGATATACCACCAAATATCCTAAGTGTGAGATTGTTTGTAGTATTAAGGTTGGGATAGAATTGTGAGAGTAGTTCCATAGGAGTTTTAAATCTCAAAACTCTTGAAGGTAACCTATTTATAATGTATGTGATAGTGAGAATAACTTTTTCCAGTAAGATTTGAGTACATTTGCTTGAAAAACAAAGGCTTGGGTTGTGGCTAGTCAATGGTTGTTTTTTCTCTCTGTCACTCCATTCTGTTATAGAGTATTAACACAATATGACTCATAGATAATATCTTCCTTTTGAAAATAGGTGGATAGAGTCTAGTTAAAATAATCTCTTGCATTATCGACCTAAATCTCTTGATTCTCACTCCAAATTGGATTTGGATCATATTTTAAAAACTTAAAAATATACTATTCACATCTGATTTGGATTTAAGTAAAAAAATCCAAAGGACTCTGGTACAATCATCTATGAATGAAATAAACTATCTTGCATAAAAAATATTAAGAATTGTAGAGAGACCCTAAATGTCACTATGAATCAAGTAAAAGGGAGTAAAACTTCTTTTCTTACTAATTGAAAAAGACACACGTCTATGCTTTGCAAGTTCACAAATATCACAATGAAAATCTTCGACATTTAATCCTTTGAACAAAGAAAGAAACATCTTTCTCAAAGTTTCAAAAAAGGATGTCCAAGATGAAAATGATAAAGCTAAATTTTATCTTTATTGAAAGATTTTTCAGAAAGAAATGACAAAGGTAAACTATTCTTAATATTACTTGTGTTATTTTATGTCTCAAGATAGTAGAGTCTATTTTTCTCCTTAGTAAGTCCAATCATCTTCCCCGAACTCTGGTCTTGAAATTCACAATAAGAGGAATAAAAAGTCACTTTGCAATTTATATCTCTGATAAGTTTTTGTACAGATATCATATTAGTAGACAATCCAGGAACATGAAGAATATTTTTTAGAACAAATGAGAGATTAACTTGATCATCTCCTAATCCTGTCACTGTAGTAAGTGAACCATTTGCAATAATAATTTTCTTATTAGTAGGATATAGGGTACATGTACTAAACTTAAGTCAATGACCTAAAAACTTGTAATAAGCTTAACCAAGACATTTAATTCATGAGAACCAGAAGCTTTACCTGAACTAGAGACCTTACCTAAAAAACATACCACAGTAGACTTTTTAAGGGTTTTTAATAGGTTTCTTAACTTTTCAATCTTTTCCTTGTCGAACTCTTCTTGTTTTCGAGACATCTGTAGTATTCCGATGAATTTCTCAGTTGACACTTCCTCAAATTAGGTGGTAGTGATATCTTTCTTTGACCTGAAACAAGTTTTAAGATATAACCATAAATGACTCTTAGCAATAAAGGCTAAAGAAAGAAAAAAATATAATGGCTATGAAGGCCTTAACAGGATTCGACAATAAAGGCCTAAAATAGAAGTTAGCGATGAAGGCTGAAAATTTTGCTTCCAAAGAAAGCCTAAAGCTCTAATACCATGTGGAAAAACTAAAAAATAAAATTGTGTAGAAAACTAAGAGAAAAAAACTAAATGTATATTAAAAAATTGCTCATTTAGAATTATACAAGAACCTTAAGTTTATTTACAACTAATTAGAGATTAAATTAGGAAACTAAATCTTCCTAAAAAGTGATCCTATAATTGAGAGATTATCTATCCTAATTTTTTATCCTTAATTTTAGGATACAAATACTTAATTCTAGAGATACAAATATAAATATACAAATTACAAAATTACAATCAACTATAAATAAGTGTTTTCCCACATACTTGCATTTCTGTGCCTTTGTTCATGTAATTTCCTCTAGGAACAATGGCGGTGTGTTTCCCTATAGTCAAGGCACATGATTTAGTCCATTTCAATAATCAACTCTTAGGTGTTCAGTTAAGTTACTGTTGTCCTGAAAGCTGGATACTGAACACGTCAAGACTCGAAGAACACAAAATAATTGTAAAGCCAAAGTGAAAAATTGTAGCAGAGTTTCATTGGCAGTGAGGAGCTTTCAGCTGATTTCTTCAGTACTTAATTTGAAAGAGAAGGTTTCTCTTGTAACAGCTGAATATTCATATGTCCACTGCTGCATTAACTGATTGTTTTCAGTCTAGGGAATAGGGATGAGACCAAAACGGTGACTGCTGATCAAATCAACTCCATAACTGAGGAATCCTCTTGAAATCCAGTCGGTCAATCCTCAGCCAATTCAGCAATGACCTCTCCTCCAGGGAAGTGGCACGTCAGGCTCCTTTTCTTCGCAAGCGAAGAAGCTTGGCTTGGTAAGTTCGTTGGGCATTAAGTTCATCCTTTTTTCATTTCTAAGGTGAGATTCAATGCTCCGAGCCATATTTTTATACCCAACACGGCCAAAAGTATAATAATAAGCCGCATGCAGCATGATGTAAACGTAATGTTATGCATATTTCATGTCATCATCAAAATACCCTTCATTAGATAAATGCATGAATGTTAGCAGAATTTTCTGATTGTTGGTTTTGGTCCAACTCCAGGTATGTTAGCAAGGGAGATTTAACAATGTGACTAAGATTTTTTGCCTGGTTGGTGATGAGGATGCTTAAAGGAAGCCAAGGAAAGGCCTCATTCACTAGCGAAAATGAAGTCCTTTTTCTCACCAAACTCCCATTGAGTTTGAGGATGGCAAGCCTTTTTGCTTGCATTGGCAGGTACCCCACTTACATATAAGAAAATGTTCATCTTACCTACCTGGCTTGTGGGCTAAGGCTCATTTAAAATTTTGACTGTCTCATTGATTATGTTTGATCGTTAGCTTCCTTTTGGAAGAACAAAAACAATACAGGTAGTACTTAAAATTGAAACAGAGTTAGGCACCAACCCTCTTAGCAATCTAACATACAAAGCATGCTTAAAAACCTACATTCGCATGCAAGCCACAATCAACTCTCTCTTTCTCTCTTTTCTTCAAGCTTCTGCAGCTCAAAATCTCTCTCAAATATCTCTTCTGCAGCCCTCTCACTGTTGATTTTCATGGTCGCTGTTTGTTGTAACTTGGTGTGCTTTATGGTGACTTTATGGAGTTGTAGGAGCCCTCTGTCAATAATCTTGTAACTTACTTGTACTTTTTCAAAGGTCTCTCTCTTTGTTTACTCTCATCATTCTCTTTTTCTTTTATGTGCAATGTGTTTGATGAAAGTAAATTTAGTTTTCTTTCTTTGAATCTCTTTCAGGGCTCCTAAAACTCCAAAGTTTTCTACTTCTTTTGCAGGTAACATTTATGTATGTCTTAAATTTGCTTTCTCTTTTCTTCATAGATATCTATTTTGTCATTTCTGATATTAGTCTGCCTTCTGATATTATAAACTGCGTATCTTTAGTTTTGTGCCAAAGAGATTAATGCATAAACATACAACAACCATCAGTTAACTAACCAGCATTCTCAATTGAATTTTCGAATCGGCTTGACATTTTATAGTGATTAGTATCAACCAAATTGCATTTCTTAAAAATGCATCAGTACACATCAACTAGCTGTGTTTCTGATATTTATTTTTGTTTTGTTTGTTTCACCATAGATGGGAAAGATGTCAAACTTCCAACTGGGTGTTATTGGCGCCCTGTTTCTTTCAGTTGCATCATCTGTCTCCATTGTCATATGCAACAAAGCTTTGATGAGCAATCTTGGCTTCCCTTTTGGTAATTTGTCTGTTCTTTCTTCATAGATGAACTTTTTATTCCTTATTGTGAAACAGCATTGCCCATTATTATTATATTAAAAGAGGAGTAAACGATTATTTACCACTATATTGAGTTGATTTTCTTTTAATCCCCTTGCTTCTTTCTCCTCTTTTTCTTTTCTCCTTGGTGCAGCAACAACACTCACTAGCTGGCATCTCATGGTAACATTTTGCACCCTTCATGCGGCACAACGCGTCAATCTGTTTGAGAATAAACCAATTGACATGAAGACTGTGATGCTCTTTGGCATCCTCAATGGCGTTTCCATTGGATTTCTCAACTTGAGCCTTGGATTTAACTCCATTGGATTCTATCAGGTGGACTTCATTTTTACAAACATTATTACACTATTGAAAATCTATTTCCAAAGCATATACATATCACCTTTTTAAACCATAATTTCGTGTCCTAATTCTTTGTGGTGCTTCTTTTGGCAGATGACCAAACTTGCAATCATACCATTCACTGTATTATTGGAAACTGTCTTCCTAAAAAAGCAATTCAGGTTTTTTTTTTTTTTAGCATAGCCATTACACTTCTGTTAGCTGGTTGAGCATTTTGAGATTCAAAGCTTACGAGAACTTTTTGTTCTACTCTGTGCAGCCAAAAGATAAAGCTGTCCCTCTTCCTTTTACTTGTTGGAGTTGGCATTGCCTCTATAACTGATCTCCAACTCAATTTTGTTGGGACAATCGTTTCTCTCCTTGCCATCGCAACGACCTGTGTTGGGCAAATTGTATCCTTTTAAATTGGTTTGTTAAAAACTGAGCATGCATCAACTGATCAAGCATTTACATTTAGGAGCTGTATTGCAAAGAAATGAAAATTAACATCGAAAAGTGCTTCTGAAATGATGTTAAAATTCAATTTTGAAGATGTATCATCGGGGCATGCTTCATGGCATAGGCCAGTATTGTTGAAAATGACCCCTAACAGTTTATTCTTGACTTGATGAATATAGCTGACAAACACCATACAGAAGAGGCTCAATGTCTCTTCAACCCAGCTGCTGTACCAGTCAGCCCCATTTCAAGCAGCTATTCTGTTTGTCTCAGGCCCATTGGTAGATCAGTTCCTCACCAAGCAAAATGTGTTTGCTTACAAATATTCCCCTATAGTCTTGGTACAGAAATAAACCTCTCTTTCCTTAGTATGTCACACAGATTATTAATGAGATTTCTGGTAACCAATTGCTTTTAAACATTTGCAGGCTTTCATCATCCTGTCATGCATTATTGCTGTATCTGTCAACTTTAGCACATTTCTGGTTATTGGCAAAACATCCCCAGTCACATATCAAGTTCTTGGCCACCTCAAGACTTGCCTGGTTCTTGCCTTTGGCTATACACTGCTGCATGACCCCTTTACAGGCAGGAACATCGTTGGAATCCTGATAGCCATTTTTGGGATGGGCTTGTATTCATATTTTTGCACCCAGGAGAACAACAAGAAACAAGCTGATCCATTGGGGTCTCAGGTATATATAAATATAAATATAAATAAATAAATATATATATATGTATATATCTCTTCCCTTCTCTGTATCTCCCACGAGAGGTTTGTTAACAAAATGTTATGTCCTATTTTTCAGATGAAAGAAAAGGACGCAACACCATTTCTGGCACCGGAGAAAGAAGACCATGAAGTTAAAAATTCAGACAAGGATTCCCTTGTCTAAAGCAAAACATGATTTTGGTATAAAGATTTTCTTCCAAACATTTTGTACCTCAAGTCTAAATGACTTTGATTCTTTAAATAAATCACTCATTTCCAATTCATCTGACCTTCCTCTTCAAAGCTTATAGTAAAATTTATGGATCCATTAGCAAATTGTGTCAATTCAGCTTCATTGTTAGCATTTCTTTGGCAGTGAAAATTGCTATACATAAATGAAAATGTCCCACTTTTTTTTTTCCTTGGCCAAAAGAAAATGAAACTAATACTTGCTATTCTAATTCTAATTTTATTTTTAGAACTATGGTCATTGCAATTATAGTTTCAAAGTAATTGATTATCAAGAAATGTCGTATGGTAAACCATGAAAGGTTTTAATTTTTTTTCCAAAGATCATGAAAAAACTTGTAAATATTGAAATTTAAATCTCAAATATATTAAATGGTTATTTTTTATAAATTATTATATAAATTAACTAAATCAAATTAAAATTTATCCTTTTATTTTTGGTTTGATAATAAATGTATTCTCATATTTATTAATTTTCAATTAGAAAATAACCTTGTTCTCCAAAAAATTACTAAACAATTTAAAAAATATTTATCTTTAAAAATTTATTATTTTATAGATTAAGGAAACTTTTAAATTTTATAAACAAAGTTAAAATATTATCATGTATTTTTTGCCACATATGTATTAATTGTTTTTAAAAAAAATTAATTTATTAATTGATTTAAATATACTTTAATAAAATATAAGCAACCTTTTAATCATATTGGTAAAAGTTAAAAATTCCATGAATAATATTATTTTTTTATTAATAATAACCTTACATTTTATTACAATCAACTAAAATAAAAGTTTACCCAAACTAAATTTTTTTCACAAATTAGACCCAAACCGTACTTTTCAACTCAACTCATATTTTTATCATAAAACATTAAATTTTTATTTTAATATTATGATTTAATTTTGATAATCTCAATTATTAAAAATATTATCAAAACAATTCATTGAAAAAAAAATCGTAAGCCACTCCAACTAAACAGACTAGGGACAACGACATTAATAATTTCTTCACAAGATTCACCATATAGAATTAATTCTCGTAATATTTATATTGTAAGTTTCATGATGTGTCCAAAATTTTATAAGTTTTGTCCAACTAAAGGGTGCAACTGACCAGAACTAATTATATTCCAAAGCAAGATTTTATTATTATTATAATGATGGGTAAAAACTTCAAAGGTTTAGTCAAGATATGTCAAATTATTTTTTTCTATTTTAGGTTACTTTATGCGATTATAGTATGTGTACCAGATTCCAAAGTGACCTAAACAGGACAAAATGGTTAGTTCCATTCCTGAAAATGATATTTTCCAAAAACCATGATTCTTTCTTTTGAATAATTTTTTCTTTTCATGGAATAACTTATGGGTGAATTTTTTTTAAAATATACATTTATATAAATAAAATATGAGGAGGCCCTAATTATGAATTTTTTAATAAATTGGGCAAATCAATAGCAGATAGAAAGTGGTAATTACAGATGATTGCATGCATGACTTAATTTTGTTTGATATAATGAAAACATCTTTTTTCAACCAAAAGAAAAGATTTGATTGATTATAAAATTTTGATTTTACATGCCTTGCCAATTAATAAAAACACTTATTGTTTTTTTTTTCAATTTTTTATTTAAAAAACATATTAATTAGCACATTCATGTTCGTTATTTCAAAATTTTCATCTCTTTTAAAAAAAGTAAAAATAAAAAAAATATTTTTTATTGTAATGATCAAGTTTTATTTTTTTATAACTTTGAATATAAAAATATTAGCAAAAAAATCTAATAATTTTTTATGCTATAAATTCTCGTAATCATTTGTTAAAATTTTGTTTGATTTTTTTTTGTAAAAAAAAATTCGAAAATAGATAAACTGTTCAGTTCTCTAAATCAGCATAAAATGTGTCATACATTCGAGATGATCTCAATAAGTGATTACTGATAAAACTCAAATATAAAATTTTTTTATCGAGAGGATAAACATATTCGATTAAACCAATCATTTATTAATAAATTTTGTTTGATTGATATCATATATCTTAGCTTCTATGTATTCTTTTCTTTGTATTTTTTATTTTCTTTGTAGTAATGGTATTATTTTATTAGGTCTTTTTAGGTCAGGCCAACTAACAGATTCTCTCCGAATGGGCTGCTCCCATTGGACTTTTTATGCCGCACTATTTGTTATATTTGATAATTTAAAAAATATTTGATGACATAAATATAATATAAATATAAAATATAAAAATAATATGATTTAAAATTTTAATAATAATTATATAAAAATTTAATAAAATTAAAAATATATATTTTTTATTTTTTATTAATATAAATTATCACATATAATTTTTATATAAAATATAATATAAATACATAAATTTTAATATTTTACATAACATTAATATTCAAATCATTAGATTTATTACTTGTATAGCTATCACTCATTTGCCTCATTTTCCTTCTTTGCCAAAGTCCAAAAATAAAGGGTGTAACGATTGATAATCATAGTAGAATTTTTGTAATTTACCTTATTGATTCAAAAAAATTTACCAAAAGGATACAAATTGGAATATATTTTTTTAATTTAGAAGTTTATATACATCTCTTAATTACCTTTCTCTAAAAATTATTAATCACATACATAATTAGAAAATATATATAAAATCAATTAACTATTGACTCAATGGTAAAGAGGAGATAATTATTGATTTATTTTTCGGTACATATATCAATCGTTATTTAATTATTAATATAATTTTCATTAATACATTTAATTTTATTAAAAAAATAAATATGTATATTAATAAATATCATAATCGAGTTTGATCATGAATTAATGAAATTAAAAAAATAAAATGTTACTCTCTTCAATATGAGTTTATTATTATTATAAAAAGGTAGAAGATTAGTGACCATATTAAAGTTTCAAGAATGGTCATTTTCATTTTATTTCATTTTTCATAAATATATATGTTTTATATGAATCAAAGGTTATTCATCCTTAATGTCAATTTCATTGGATGTTATCCAAAAACAAAAAATTCATTGGATGGTTTTTAAATGGGAACATTATTAGCATGCACTTTGTGCTATTCACATCTACAAAATTAATTTAGATGTAATTATTAAATCAGGACGAGAAAAAAGATTCATCAACCCTTAATTAAGTATTAAAATATGAATCTTAAAATTTTTAAATATTATTTTTTAGAATAATTAAATGTCAAATTTATTAGTTTGTCATTATTTTTCTCTAATTTTACTAAATAAATGAGTTTTAATTAAAACAATAAATTTAGACTTGGTAGTTTGTAAATTAATATAGTAAAAATATTAAAATTTATATATTCATATCATATTTTATACAAATAATATATATCATAATTTATATTAATATAAAAATATAAAATATTTTTATTTTATAGAATTTATATATAATTACTATTAAAAATTTAAATTATATTATTTTTATGTTTTATTTTTTATATCATATTTATATTTTATTATCGTATGTATTTTATATTAACATGTTTACGTAAACTCCTGAATAAAAACAAAAAGCGAAAGTACATGATTGGCTGCATAAGTTTAACGTAGTTTTTTAACTTTAATGAATGGAGAAAAGGGTAATAAAGTAATTTTAACCATCCAATATTCGCCTGCCAATCTTTGTTCTCGGTCGGACACCCTCTCCTCCATTTCAGTTATAAACAATGAGAGAACAGAAAACCAAAAGAACAGAGCCAAACAGAGAGAAACAGAGGGAAACCGAGAGAAATTTTTTCTTTGGTAACTGAAACTTCAAAGAAAAAGAGTTTCACTAATTTCACTATTCAAAGAAGAAAAAAAAAATATTGATTCTCTTGTAATTATCATCTCATTACCACAGCATTTTTTTTTATTCTCTGTTTTGCAAAGAATTCAAATGGCTGGTTCGCAGAGCGGAGAGTTAAAAATGGAAGGATGGTTATATATAATTCGTTCTAATCGGATTGGATTACAGTACTCAAGCAAACGCTACTTTGTTCTTGAAGACCATCTTCTTATGAGCTTCAAATCCATGCCCATTTCCACTAACCAGGTCTCTTCCCTTTTTTTTATCAGCAATATTTATTTATTTATTTATTTTTGGTAGCTTATCTTGCAAGTTTCGTTACTTATTTAACGATTATTGCAAAGAAATAATGGCATTAAACTAAACTTTAATATCGCTGTCTTTCTATTTTCTTTTTATTTTCGGTTTAATTTTTTTAATTAATCGATCCAGCTGGTATAATAAGTGAATAACTAGTTTTAAATGGAGATGATTATTAATTATCATTTTATTTGTTTATTTATTTAATAATTATTATTTTAGTTGCTTCATTATGGATTAGTTGAATATGCTTAATAATTTCATGTCAAACGCGTTTTCAGGTTTGATTGGAAGGAGAAAGCGCCTGATTGCGAACATGTGTGTGTGTGTTTTTTTTATGTACCTGATTTTTTTAATTGTTTCTTTCACCTGGCCATCTAAAACACGAGTTACTAATGAAAAAATTTTCTCGTTTTTTCAAAATTATGTATCCTTTAATAGATTAACTACAGTCTTGGGCATACTCTCTCTTCGAGCTTGACCAGTTGCCGATTAATAGAAAAAAATTCAAGTTTTCTTTTTATTAGGTAGATAAAGTGGTGTTTTTATATGTTAATACAATACAAACATGATAAAAATAAAATATAAAATTAATACAGTTTAAAATAATTATATATAGAGTTAACAAAACTAGAAAATTGTGTTTAATGTTTTTGTGTGGAAACTAATTATGATATGCAATTTTCGATACAAATACATAAATTTTAATATTTTACATGACATGATGAATACACAAATCGCTAAGTGTACTTTCAATCGAGCAGCCTTTCAAATTTTGCTGGTCCTTTTGTATTTTTTGGGTTAGAGATATAACTTTGTATAGGTAAATCTGGAGAACTCTACAACGAACTTTGTGTGAGAATATTTCACTTTAACAGTCATATATCAGTCTTTGTACCCTTTAATCTTTAGTTTTTACTGAAAGTTGAGTTGATTTGATGATAATATAGCTTCGCTTTAAGCATAATTATACAATGTGATGCGGCACTTCTTCGCTTTTGTGGAAAGTTGCTTAGATTC